CCAAACATTCTTGACTACTGTAGCTACATAGTAAGTCTTGAACGTAGGTATGCTGATATCTCCCATTGAATTCTTCCTTTTAGAAGTTGTTTTAGCTATTCTAGTTCCTTTGCCCTTCCAATATAACTTTTAGAATAATCTTGTCTGTATCTACAAAATATCTTGCTAGGATTTTCCCTTCATATTTAAAGAATATTTTCACTGGATATAGGAGTGTGGGTTAACAGTTCTTTTGTTTTAGCACTTGAAAAATGTGCTACTTTTCTTCTGGCCTCCATAGTTTCTGATGAGAAATGTGATGCCATTCAAATTGTTTTCCCCTACAGGTATCATTTCTTTCAATGCTTTTAAGATTTTTCCTTTGTCTTTAACTTTCAGTAGTTTGACTACGATGTGTCTTGGCATGGATTTGTTTGAGTTTATCCTGTTTGAGGTTCATCTAGGTTCTTGAATCTGTAGGCTTATCTCTGACAAATTTGAAGAGTTTTCAGTTATTATTTCTTCCAGTACTTTTTCAGCCTTGTTCTTTCTCCTCCCCTTCTGGGAGGAGACATCAATGTTAGATCTTTTGTTATAGTCCCACAGGTTCCTGTAGCCCAGCTTTTTTTTTTCCTCCCCAGTCTGTTTTCTCTTTTTTATTCTGGTTGAGTAATTTCTATTGTTCTGTATTTCAGCTCACTAATTCTTTCCTCTGCCCCCTCCATTCTGCTGTTGAGCCCATCTGTTGAGTTTTTTTTTATTTTAGTTACTGCGTTTTTTTAGTTCTAAATTTTCCATTTGGTTTTTCTTTACATCATGTATTTATTTGCTGAAATTTTTCATTTGTTTGCTGGAACTTTCTATTTTTTCATTTGTTTCAGGCATGTTTGCAACTGCATATTGAAGCATTTTTATGATGACTGCTTTAAAATCTTTGTCAGATAATTCTTATATCTCTGTCATCTACATGTTGACATGTATTGATTACCTTTTTTCATTCACTTTAAGATCTTCCTCTTCTTGGTACGATGCATGATTTTTTTATTGAAACCTGGACATTTTACGTATTGTCATGGATTGAATTGTGTCCCCTCAAAATATATGTCAACTTGGCTGGGTCATGATTCCCAGTATTGCATGATTGTGTACCATTTTGTAATCTGATGTGATTTCCTTATGTGTTGTAAACTCTATCACTATTATGTAATAAAATGGATTAGCAGCAGTTATACTGATGAGGTCTGCAAGACTGGATAGTGTCTTAAGCCAATCTCTTTTGTGATATAAAAGAGAGAAGTGAGCAGAGAAACATGAGAACCTCACACCACCAAGAAAGCAGTACCGGGAGCAGAGTGTGTCCTTTGGTGTTCCTGTGCAGAGAAACTCCCAGACCAAGGGAAGACTGATGACAAGGACCTTCTTCCAGAGCCAACAGAGAAAAGAAAGCCTTCCCATGGAGCTCACATGCTGAATTTGGACTTGTAGCCTACTGGACTGTGAGAGAATAAATTTCTCTGTTAAAACCATCCATTTGTGGTATTTCTGTTATAGCAGCACTAGATGACCAAGACAGGTATTATAATACTCTGGATCTTATTTAAACCTGTTTTAGCTGACTTCCTCTAACGCTGCTCAGGCAGGTGAAGGGAGAAAGATGCTGCCTTGTTACAGACAGGTGGGTGAAGAAGTCCAGGTTCCCCACTGTTACGGATTGAATTGTGTCCCCCTCAAAATGTGTGTCAACTTGGCTAGTCCATGATTCTCACTATTGTGTGATTGTCCACCATTTTGTGATCTGATGTGATTATCCTGTGTGTTGTAAATCCTAACCTCTGTGATGTTAATGAGGCAGGATTGGAGGCAGTTACGTTAATAAGGCAGGAGTCAATCTACAGGATTAGGTTGTGTTTTGAGTCAATCTCTTTTGAGATATAAAAGAGATAATCAAGCAGAGAGAAGAGGGACGTCATGCCACCAAGAAAGAAGTGCCAGGAGCAGAGTATATCCTTTGGACCCGGGGTCTCTGTGCTGAGAAGTTTCTAGATCAGAGGAAGATTGATGACAAGGACCTCACCCCAGAACAGACAGAGGAAGAAAGCATTCACCGAGAGCTGGCACCCTGAATTCAGACTTCTATTCTCCTAGACTGTGAGAGAATAAATTTGTCTGTTAAAGCCACCCACTTGTGGTATTTCTGTTATGGCAACACTAGATAACTAAGATACCCACTAAACCTCCACTGGTATCTACTTAGCTGGGAGAAGTAGGAGTGCCTCTTTACTGCTCCCCACGTGGCCTCAACTAACACCAGGAGAGGAAGATGGTCTCATTACTACTAGGGGGTGGTGAAAGTCCAGACTCTCTTACAAGGTCTCCTCAGACACCACCCCAGTTGGGAAAGTGGGGAGAGGCACCTCATTACAGCCTGATGAAGGTGGAAGTCTAGAATCCCCACAATGCCTTTGCTGGTGTGGGTATGAGTGGGCCACATTTTAAAATTTTATTTTGGTATTTGGCTGGAGTAGAGAGGTTATTGTCTAAAAGTTTTCTGTTTTGCTAGGCTTCCTCTTTCCTGGTCCTTTGGCTAGGGAGAGTAGGCTTTTGGGGGGACATTTTTGGCTGTGCCTGTTGGTGTTTCCAGGTTGCCGGATTCTTCAGCTCCAAGTCTGGAATATATGAGGCAAAAAGAAAACCCAGGAAGCTCACCATTGTGTTGTTCCTTGGATATCGAGGTTACTAGCTGGTCTGCTTTTTTCTCTCAGAGTATTTTTATGTTTCTTTTATATGTAATGTCCAGGGTTATTAGGGAAAAGTACATCTACTCCATCTTTTCCACTTATCTTTTAATCATTTGTTTATTTGGTTTTCCACTAGATTGTGAGCTTTTTAAGTGTACGTTTGTATCTTCAATATCTAGCTTCACTCGTGATCTTTACATGTTTGAAAAAAGAAAATATATCGTGGAGTGAAGTGAATGAATCGTGTTCCTTTCCCATCCACTGTTGTGTGTGATGGTAGGAAGAGAAGGAGGTGCAACCTTGTCTTTTTTATTTTTATTGTTGTAATTTAAGTGAAAGTTTACAGTTTAAGTTAATCTCTCATACAAAAATTTATACATATGTTGTTATGTGACCCTAACTGGTCTCCCTATACTGTGACAGCACACTCCTCGTTTCCACCCCTGATTTCCCCTGTCCGTTCAACCAGCTCCTAACTATGTCAGCCTTCTCATCTCACCTCTGGACAGAAACTGCCGCAACCCTATCTTGAACAATGAGATTCCTCGTGGCTATTTGATGTTGTTAAAGGTAGCTTGTCAGCCAAAACTAGCTTCTCAAGCTTATACTCTCCTTTCTAGGTTTTCATGTGTTACCAAAAGTTACCAGCAGGTGGCAGAGTAATCGATTAAAATGGTCTTGTCCAAAACGTAAGGAGGATGATTTTCTTCCATGAACTAGAGAAATAATTCTATTCCCTTGTACCCACCCTGGTGGTGTAGTGATAAAGTGCTATGGCTGCTAACCAAAGGCTCGACAATTCAAATCCGCCACGCGCTCCTTGGAAACTCTACAGGGCAGTTCTTCTCTGTCCTATAGGGTCACTATGAGTTGGAATCCACTGGACAGCAGCAGGTTTGGTTCTTTTGGTTTGTGCCCACCCCGGGTCCATTCCTAAAATATTGCTTTGAAAATTAAATACTCTTTTTCAGGTTTGTGGCACAGGTAGTTGTACAGAGTGAAAGCAAGTGGGCTCTGTCATGCTCCTTGGTGAAATGTGACACCAGGATTACTTGAGTTTTTGTGAAAATAAATGTCTAGCATTTAGTTACTCTTCCCTTTGATTTTGGCATTTAAATCCATAGGAATGTGGAGGTTGGATGAGTGGAAGATTAATACTTGTCTTTAACAACATTGTAACACTGAAGCCTTCAAAAGCAAACCAAAACAACAAAAAATCCCGGACACCTCAAATCCTACCACTCATTTTTTTTTGTCAGGCCCTGCTGATAGGCACATAACATTGATGATTCAGTTTTTGAATTCTATTTTTTTTGTTCATTATCAAAAATATTTCCTGATATAAGTATGGGGGGTTGCTTTAAAATTTTCTCCTTGAACTCATATTCAGAGATTAATCACCTTATGGTCACCTGACCAAAAAGAGTCCAGAGGGAACCTTTTTGTTTTTCTCAACTTTTTATTTTTTAAAATACGAAACCTACAGAAAAGGTGAAAGAATAATATGATAAACACTCGATTGTCCTTCACCTAGATTCATTGGTAACATTTTGCCACATTTGCTTTATTTCTTTCACTCTATTACATTGATGGAAATCGTTTTAAAAGCTCGTTTACTCCAAGCATGCACCCAACAATTTTCTTTCTCCTCCCTCCCTCTCTTGCTTCCTCATAATTAAAACCGTAGAGCTCCAAAATCCTGCCCTTCTTTTAGTCTCCCACTAGCAAGTTAAGCTCAGATTCTGGTGAGCAATGAGCACCCGTGGGCTGAGTGATATTTGCTGGTCAGTAGTATTCCTTTTAACCTACACAGTTTGGTTAAATTCACACAAGATGAAAAAAGCTGCAGTAGGCCCAGTATTTCCTAACGTTACCGACATGACCTCGTGCTCAAGGAAAAGCTCTTATTCGTTTTTGGCAAAGGTCCAGCTAGGGACCTTTACTTTTCTGTGTTGGCAATTCAGGAAATCACTGTGACTACTTGGAGAAGACAGCGCTCCTTTCGCAGTCTCTTGCTCGTCTCTGGCCGTTTGTCTCCTGTCTTGGGGACTGTGATCTTCTGTACAAGATCTTCCATCAGCTCTGAGAGCTAGTCTTGGGAATTCTCTTAAACAGTATTTTCTATGACAAAAAAAGGAATCACGAGGGAAAAGTAGTTGCGTTGTGGGGAAGACCCAATGTTTGGAAAATCTGAAAATGTGGGTCATTTAAAAAACGTACAGATGGTAAAAAAAACTCATCTACTTAGAATCATAGGTCTTACACTGCAAGTCTTCATCATGGTCCCTGGTGGTTTAGTGGTTAGGATTTGGCGCTCTCAACGCCGCAGCCCGGGTCCGATTCCCGGTCAGGGAAGGGGTTTTGATTTTTTTTTTAAAAATTGTACTTCAGGTGAAGGCTTACAGAACAAATAGTTTCTCATGAAACAGTAGTACACATATTGTTTTATGACATTGGTTAACAACCCCACAACATGTCAACCCTCTGACTTCTCAACCTTTTTTTTTTTTGGTGAAAATACACATAGCCAAAGATACACCATTTCAAAAATTTCTACATGCACAGTTCAGTGACATTGACTACGGTCTTCCAATTGTGCTGCTATTCTCACTTAAGGTGAAGGCTTACAGAACAAAATAGTTTCTCATTTAACAGTTACTGCACATGTTGCTCTATGACAATGGTTAACAATCTCACAACACATTAACAATACCCTTACTCAACCTTGGGTTCCCTATCACCAGCTTCCTTGTCCTCTTCTGCCTTCTGGTCCTTGTCACTGGACACTGTACTTCATTAGTCCCATTTGGTTTTACGGGGCTGTCCACTCCTAGGCTGAACGGTGAACCTTGGAGATAACTTCACCACTGAGCTAAAAGGGTGTCTGGGGGCCATACTCTCGGGGTTTCTCCAGTCTCCTTTAGGCCAGTAAATCTGGTCTTTTTTGTGTGTGAGTTAGAATTATGTTCTATATCCTTCTCCAGCTCTGTCCAGAACCCTCTGTTGTGATCCTGGTCAGAGCAGTCAGTGGTGGTAGCCGGACACCATCTAGCTGTACTGGACTCAGTCCGGTGGAGGCCTTGTTAGCCGTGGACAATTAGTCCTTCAGACTAATCTTTTCCTTGTATCCTGTTCTCTTCATTCTCCCTTGCTCCGGAAGGGATGAGACCAATGGAGTATCTTAGATGGCCGCTCACAGGCTTTTAAGACCCCAGACACTACTCACCAAGGTAGAATGTAGAACATTGTCTTTATAAACTGTGTTATGCCAATTGAGCTAGATGTTCCCCGGGACCATGGTCCCCACAGGGAAGGTTTTTTCCCCCCAACTCTGCCCCCAGCCCCGTCTCCTCTCTGTAGAGCTCTCATTTTGATGATTAGCTTTGTTTCAATGAATCAGCCCCTCCATTTACCACCTAATCAAATACAGAAAACGTAGGAAAACACAAAAAGATCGCTCGTAAGACAACTGTCGACATACAATTTTTTTTTAACAGAAAATGGAATCATTCTATAAATAGTTTTATCACCAGCTATTCTTTTTAACTTAACGATATATTTCTAACACCTTCCAGTGGAAATAAATATTCTTAAGAAACATGATATTTTATTTCAATTTAATTATTTAATTTTTTGAAAATGTAATATATTTACATGGTTTAGAATTCAAACATTCAAATGAGCATAACTGATAAACCTGACTTCTACCTCTGCCATCTGTTGTTGTTAGGTGCTGTTGAATCGGTTCCAACTCATAGCGACTCTGTGTACAACAGAGAGAAACACTGCCTGGTCCATCCTGTGTCATTCTCACATTTGTTGTTATGCTTGAGAGCCAATTGTTGCAGCCAATGTGTCACTTCATCTCGTTGGGGGTCTTCCTCTTTTTCACTTACTGTCTAGTTTCCCCCCCATGGGGTAACCAATGTTTTTAAGTTTCATAAGTATAATGTGAGATATTTTATGCAAATGCATACATACAAACATACGTACGTATATATTCAACTATGTTCCCCCCGCCTTGCACAAATGATGGCAATCTACACATACTTCCCCTTTTTCACTTATTTTGGAAATATTTCCAGATTAGTACATGAAGAACTTCCTTATTCTTTCTTATGGCGCATAGCATTCCACTGTATGGATATTCCAGAACTAATTTAACCAGCTTCCTATGGATGGACATTTAAGTTATTTCTAACCTTCTGCTATTACAAACAATGCTGCCATAAATAATCTTGTACATGTCACTCATTTTCTACATGTGTGAAATAAGTGCACAAGAATTTAAGTGCTAGTTCAAAAGGTTATGTGCATTTGTGGATGGATATTGCCAATTTGCCCTCCATAGAGGTTGTACCAATTTACACTCATACAAGCAATGTACAATTTAAATATTTTAAAGATAAAAGCCAATGTACTTTTTCGCCAAAATGGATTTATTCCTACTCACGGACATTTAGTCTTTTCTCTCTCCCTTCCAAAAAAAAATGTTGGCTTTACAAGTAACATTTTGATGCCTTTCTTTGTCGATAAATCTTTGTGTATGTTCTTGGCTATTTCCTTAGAATAAATTCCTAGAAGTGGAATTACTAACTCTTTTGTTGTTGTTAGTTGCCCTGGAGTCGGCTCATGGTGACCATATGTATAATAGAATGAAAAGTTGCCTGGTCCTGTGCCATCTTCATGACCATTGGTATGTTTGAGTCCATTATTGCAGCTATTGTGCAATCATGTATCGAAGGATTAAAGAATTAAATTCAAGAACTGAGAATATTTAAAAGCTACAAAAAAAATTAGTGAATAATTATCTAATCTTGGGCTGGAGAAGGACGTTTTCAAGATTAAAGCAAACACAGATGAATCATAAAGAATAAAACTGATAACTTAGACTACATAAAAACTGAAAACTTCTGCCCATCTAAAAACGCCAGAAATAATATTAAAAGATGATAAACTGGTATAAATCAGTAGGGAAAACATAAATCTCCAATAAAAAAAATAGGCAAAGCACATGACTTAGTAAGTCTCAAAACTAACCCAGATAATTGGTAAGCTTTAGAAAACTGATCAGCTTCAATAATAATAATATAAATGCAAATTAAAATGAGGCCTCATATTTTTATCTTGCATTTTGCCAAAGGTTGAAAGAATAATGAAATCCAGTTGACTAATGTAATTTGATAATACTTGGTGACTAGTAAAAATTGGTAAAACTTTTCCACACAGAAGTTTGGCAATATGTAGTCAAAGCTTAAAAATGTGTATATTTTTTTAATTGCAATTTTACTTTTATGTTTCCTAAGGAAACACTCCAGTGGGTAACGTTGTGTGGACTCTCACAGCAGAGCCTTAACTCGTCCACTGGATTTCAGAGATCTCCTTTCAAGCGACGATAGACAAAAACTGGAATTGATTTTCTTTAAATCTATGAAACGAAACTACCACGACATTTTCAACACCATTAATTCTAGGCGAAATCCTCGAGAGAGCTTCTTTTCATCTTCCTTCTTTAGCTGTATGGTTTAAATTTCTTTTAACGCCAATCTCAAAACCTGTGGGGCCAAACCTGACACAGTAGTCGTCATATAGCAAGCAGCTAAAGACGTTGTAGGTGGTATAGTGGTGAGCATAGCTGCCTTCCAAGCAGTTGACCTGGGTTCGATTCCCCGCCAACGCATCTTGACTCTCTTATTTTAGACCGAAACTTTGCGGAAGGCCATTAAACTTCGGCAAAGCAGGCCCGAAAAGGGCATTTGGCCACGTTTGTACGCTGAGACTGGATCCTCCGAGGAGACCCTCCCAAGAGCGAGCCTCTATGTTTTTGTAGCTGCAACCTCCGATTCGAACCCATCTGTTGGATTCGACCGCTGGCGTCGCACGATTTTTAAGATAACTGTCGTTTTGGAGGTCTTTAGGAAAGTGTCTGGAAGACTGGTCTGTTTTGTTTTTCTGAATCCGCGGAGACGGCTGTAATTTACTGCAGAATCCGCATAAGAAAGTCAGCGCAAGCGCCCGCAGTTCCTGTGAGGGGAGCAAGGAAAAATAATCAGGAGGAGGACCCTCACCCCTCCCGCAGCTCCCCAAACCCCGCTTCTCTTCCGGAGCCACCATTCCGGGAACAGAAAACTCAATTCTAGGCCACAGGTTGGAGATGTAAACATGAATGTCCTTCGGGGCTCCCTCTCGCAATCCTGGGCGAGATGGTTTGATTGTTTGGAGGAGGAAGAAGAAGGATGAGAAATCAATGCAGAGGGGCAGCCGGGGACGCGGTCGAGGGCTGCAGTTCCAGCCTCTCCTCTCAAGTCAGGACCTGGGCTCCCCGCTGAGTTTAGAGTTTCAGATCCGGATTCGGGTGTCGGGTCTTTGAGGTTGCGGAGTGGAAATAATTTGTTTGAGATTTTGACTGGTATCACATAAACTGGGTAAACACAACATAATGTAGGAAACTGGTTGGTATTTGTTTCAAAATACATTAAATTAAACCATCCTCCGCACCCCGGCGGTTGGCGTGCGGTGATCGTATAGTGGTTAGCACTCTGCGTTGTGGCTGCAGCAACCTCGGTTCAAATCCGAGTCACGGGATGTTGTTGTAACTTGCTTTGGCTGCCGTAAGTTTTAAATGTAATTCCGCTTTTGCTGAGGGCAGCCTCTCAGGAGCGCAGTCAAAGAACTGGTGAATAATAGTTTCCACCATCCACACCGGGAGAGACGCTTCAGGCCAGGATGAAAATCCGCGAGCACGGTAACCAAGGCGGCAAGGGCAGTCGCCTTCGACCTTCACGTGAGCAGCGGAGACGACCCTTCTAGAGAGTGATCTCGGAGCTCGCCGTCTCTTTCAGAGGCTGGAGATCTGAACGCTTTGGGGAGAGGAGGCAAGGGTCCCGCGACCAAGTACGCATAAGGCTCTGAATCCGATCTGAGTTTAAATCTCAGTGGGACCTTCACACGCAACGAATATGCTGTTTTATTCAGGCCACACAAAATTTTAGCATTTAAAAACAAACTTGTGCTCCCAAGTGAATAGGACCTATTTTCCAATAACGCGTCGCCCTTTCCCTGTTGCCCCCCCTGCCCCGTCATGGTTTAGGGCAGAAAAAGGTTTTCGACTGGGAGGAAAGGAGTTTGGGCCGCAGCTGCAGGGTCCCGGAAGCAAGAGTTTGTTTACGCTCTCCTGCTCTCCGTGGTTGTTTGCGGCACTCATCCCCCTCCCCTCCCACTCTTCCGGAGCCGGAGTCCTCGAAACCGGTTTGTCAGAGTGACCAGATCTAGAAGTAATTTGCGGAAATACCGGGGTTTCAGGACTCTTGATTCTCACGTCGAGTTCGTCTGACTCCGCGCAGGCTCTTCTTTGA